GGAGGTTTGATCTATACTATTGTGCAATCGGACCTCTTGATCTGTCTCTCCTATGGTACCATGATTATCTCTCTTCCCATCCAGCACCATCAGAGATACCATCAACCATACTGAAGATGCAATTGGTTTTCAGTGAAGGACTTGAAGTCTTCCTGTCTGGGTCTCTGATCTGAAAATTATAGCCTACTGTGGCAATTAATTTCTTCCCTTTAGTCGAGACAACTAGATGCCAATGTTTCTATCAAGTGCTTTGCCTTTCTGCAGGAGAATATGTATGTGTTTATTTTTCCTGACCGGTTGCTAAAACACAATAAAACTCCAACATTGTCATGGCTATTTATATCAGTTCTTTTCCTTCACCCCAGTAGCATGCCTCCAAACTGGAACATTGTCTTATTCATTATCTTGATCATGTTTTCTTCAGGAAGATTATGAAGTGTTTATAGTAAGAAACCCAAAGGCTATCTGGAAGAGGTGATAACAGACCACCTCTGAGGCCAATTAACAGAAGGGACAGAGCCCCTAACATGTGTGTTTGAGCTGAAGGAGAGCGAAGCCTGGCTGTGCTCCTGGGGGGGGGGGGGGGGCAGGTGAGGCTCTGAGCTGGTGGTTGTCTCTTGCTCAGAGATGGGTTCCTGTAATGTTGTCTGTAAGGCTGGTGACTGAGTCTCCCTGATTTGGTTGAGAATTTGGGGGACATTCTGATGATAAGTTCCTTCTTTCTCCTCTTCCTAGAAAGATGTGTAAAAGTCCTCACATCCATGAAAGAAAATTGAAACTGAAAGAATTATATTTATGAGATCTGGAAAATATGACTATAAAGTGAATCAGAGTTTATATTTATTTTTATCAGCTCAGGACTAGGAATTTCTTCTACAAGCTATTCATCAACCAAACCATTCTTCTGGCCTCTCATCTACTTCTGCTTCATTTTTTTAAAAAAGGAAACAAAGGATACTCCATAATTGTGACCCAGCCCAGTACTTATCTACTTCATAATATTGCTTTGCCTCTGTTCAGTGTACATGTCTAATGTCAATAAGAGCATGGCTTCCTTGTCATTTCTTCCCTGTGAACTAGAGAGGATGGAAGACTCCTGAGCCAAGTTATGGAGTAGGAGTAGTTGGCTTTTATGCCAGTACTGGAGCTTGAACTCAGGGCCTGGGCACTGTCCCTTAGCTTTAAGGTATCCCACCATTTGAGCCACAGTTCCACTTCCAGATTTTTAGAGGTTAATTGAATATAAGAGTCTCATAGACTTTCCTTCCCAGACTGGCTTCAAACTGTGATCTTCAGATTTCCACCCCCTGAGTAGGATTGCAGGTGTGAGTCGCTGGCTCTCAACTGCTTATTCTTTTAACACTCCCAGAATAGAATTTCTTTTTTTCTTTTTTTTTAACTTTTTTAAAAATAAGTTTTTTATTGTGAAAATGCTGTACAGAGGAGGGGTTACAGTTACATGACTGAGGTAATGAGTACATTTCTTATCAAGCATTGTGTTTTGGACTAAATATGGAACTATAGTTTCTCCATGCCAGTTAAAACAATTATGCTTAAAGGACCAAAAACATTCTTTGAAAATTTAATCAGGGCTAGGAAGGTGGCTCAGTGGTACAGTGCTTGCCTTGCATGCATGAGGTCCTGGGTTTGATTCCTCAGCACCACATAAGCAGAAAAAGCTTGAAGTGGCTCTGTGGCTCAAGTGGTAGAGCACTAGTCTTGAGCTGAAGAGCTGAGGGACAGTGCCCAGGCCCAGAGTTCAGGCCCCACGACCGACAAAATTAATTAATTAATTAATCAAAACAATTTTCCCAGGTGGGTGTCAGTAGCTCACTTCTGTAATCCTAGCACTTGGGAGGCTGAGATTAGGAAAATTCGAATTCAAGGCCATCTGGCCAGAAAAGGTAATGCGCTCTCCTGTCTCTTAAAAAATTGGCTACAGTGGGGTGGGGGGGTGTAGACCGCAAGGTGGGGTGACATTGTCCAAGAGAAATGTACTCATTATCTGACTTGTGTAACTGTAACCCCTCTGTATACCATCCTTATATTAACAATAAAAAATCATGTAAAAAACACCAGAACTTCAAGTTCACAAAACATATTGGGCAGCTGGGAATGTTGTCTTAATCTGTGTTTATTGTTGTGGATCTCATTAAAGTATCAAGACCCTGGATTTCTTTTTAGACAACCTCACCTTTTTGGTCCAGAATCGTCTCAGATTTTTTCTTCCTACGTGTTAATGAAGCAAAAGGCCAAGTAAACAACAGGACCCCTTCATGGGAACTGCCAGTTTTAAATGTGAACAAGCTCCATGAGCTGCAGATCTGCAGTGACACTGGAATGAAAGGGCACTCTGAAGGGATCGGTTTCCTGAGTGACTTTTACAAACAAGCCAGAAGATCCTTGGCTTCAGCATTGTGCTGCACTCTGGTCAGAAGGAAGCCAGCTATACCTGTCATCCCCAAACAGATGAAAGACTCCTCCTGACCAAGCCTAGTGGAATTCAATTGTCCTAGTGTTTACTCGGAGCCTCCTGGCACCGCCATGATATGAGCTGTGAGGAAACTGGTTGGCATGCCAAGTATCACATCCTTAGAACTTGGTAGACAGAGGAAGAGTTAAGGGGGTCCCATGAACTTCAGACTGGATGTTTAAGACTGGCAGGGGTGCACGGAAAGGTTGTGGACCAGCTAAGCATGTGCGATTGTCATTCTCACCTGTGCCTCTAGAAAGTGAAAGTCATAAAGAACAGGCCAAGGAGAGCAGTTATCACATCCAGATCTTGTATTAAAACACGTAAGTTCATATCTAGAAAAAATATCTACTGGAGATAACTGTTAGACATAATAATCATCCTAATAACAGAGTGGTGAAAACATCAGCAGAAATAAGAGAAGGACTTTTTACAGTCTCCAGAATAGAATTTCTAATTGAGCACTGGATTAAGGGTCAAGAAGACTGGTTTTACCTTCTTATCAGGCATTCACCTCTATATTCCTAGCAGCTGTAGACAAGGCACCACACCTTCATCCATTGATGTGAAAACTGAGAGTAAGGCTCTGTTGGTGGCTCACTCAAGGTCACAGGAGCTGCCAAGTGACGTCAGGATGGCTGGTTCCTCGCATTCATCTGGATGCACTGAAAGTGCTGCTCTTAGGTCAGCACATAGCAATTGGCAACACTGGTTATCCAGTGACAGAAGATATGGTCCAAGACACAGGACCATATCCCCACTCTACCTCACAACCTCCCTACACCACTGTTGCCAATATCAAAGCAATTGACAGATCTGTAAGCTGTTCTCACAGCTGAGGGCTGTGAGAAAACCTAATTCTTTTGTTGTTGGTGGTGGTGGTAGGGGTGGTGGTGGAGGTCATAAGGCTTGAACTCTGGGTCTGGGCACTGTCCCTCAGCTCTTCAACTCAAGGCTAATGCTCTACCACTTGAGCCACAGTGCCATTTCCTGCTTTTTCTGTTTACGTGGTGCTGAGGAATCGAACCCAGGGCAAGCACTGAGCCACCTTCCCAGCCTCGAGAATTATCTTCAATTAAGCCCTTCCTTCCTCAGGAGGCTGAGGCAGGAAGATCATGAATTCATTTCTAGCCTGTGCTAAGTAATAAGTTCTGGGTCAGCAAGAGATATATAGCAAGAGACCCATCTAACCATAACAAAATAAAAGCCAGCATAGGTATTCAATTCATTTCTTAATCAGGTGGCAAATTAGGCTGGGGTGGGGTATTTGTTCTAATAAATAATTACAATGAACTGGGTACTGGTGGCTCATGCTTGTAATACTATCTATTCAGGAGGCTGAAATCTGAAGATCATGAGCTCTTTTTACTCAAGGCTAGAACCCTACCTCTTTGAACCACAGTGCCACTTCCAGATTTCTGGTGGTTAATTGAAGATAAGAATCTCATGGACTTGAGTAAAAATTGCTCAGGGACAACCAGCACCCAGGCCCCGAGTTCAAGCCCCATGACCGACAAAAAAAAAAAAAAGTAGGCATCTGCAATGTCAGATGCCTACATTTTTAACTGAGTGGCTTTGGTGTTTATGATGTCATAACAAAGGGATGTCAAGAGTCTTAAGCATTAGTTTGCCACTAGTAAGACTTTTGTTGTCACATTCTCTGTTCTTCAGCCAGCCACAGCAGAAAAAAGAGGTTGGAAATGGGTAGTTTCTAGGGATCCCTAGATTTAGTTTAGGGTGGTTTTTAGGGGCCCCTAAGTTTAGTATTTTATGAATCTGACTACATGTAATAAGAACTACAGTCTAACACGAGCTCAGTGGGAAAAACAGAATTGCATTGCAGGTTGCTTGCTAAATGGAATTGTGAAACAGATGCTGTTTGTTTCCAAAAGTCCCTTCCTTTTCTCAAAAGTTCCCAAAGCCATCAAATTAATCTCTTTAACCAGCCCCAAAAGCACCTAAAGTCCCTCTTGTTCTCTTTTCTTCCTCTAACAAGTAAGTTAAACCAGTTTCCGTTAACATGTCAGCAGTAGTGACCAGGAGCTGTTTAGGAATAAGCTCTCCCAGAAAGGCTTACTAAACACACACACACACACACACACACACACACACACACACACACACACACACACAGATCCAGTGAGCAAATGTGTAGTGTAGAAATTCCATTTATTCTCTGTTCCTGGAAACCTTGCATCAGATGGTAGAAGGTACCTTATTCCTGAGTGCCATATGTTTATCTTGGCCTTTTTCTTGCCGACTACAGACTTGCTTATAATTTCCCAGATTTACTTCGGCATGCTTAACAAAACAGCAGCAGGGATGTTTGTTCTATTGGAACCACTCTCGGCTGAAGCTGACATTCCTTGTTTGTGATCTCACTATGTTTTTAGTAACATCTTCATCTGGCTGATGACTGTTTGTTTGTATTATAGCTCTCTCATTAACCACATAAATCTACAGAACAAACCCACAAACCAGAACCTCAACACACCATTTTTGACCTAGCCCAAGGTTCTATCCTTACCAGTGGATTTGGAAGAAGAAAGCCATATTCTTCAGAAATGTGGTATCTTCCTAAAGAAAATTGTAGTGTGGTCTTTGGATTCTGTCTTTGAGGCTCCATAATTTGATTCCACAGGAACTGAAGATCCTGGTTATGGGAATTTCAAACCTGTTTGGTTGCGAGGTATCTCAGAGGCAGAAGAGACCCTTGCCCTGTGGTTGAATTCCACACTGCTCCAAACTTATTGGAGACAAGACTGAGTAAACAGTTGAGCACAGCTGGTTAAAACAAACAGGCAAACACAATCCACTCCAAGAAAATACCTCCTTTCTTCTCTCACTCATGCCATTTTCTAAGTGTGGGTTTTAAACTCAAAGACAAGTATGTACAGCTTTAGAAAAGGGAAAAGAGAACCAAGTTTTTGCTTCTAGCTGATCAAACCCATATGGCAGAAATCTGGTCCATGATAAATTTGGACAACGGGATCAAAATTACTACAAAGGAGTAAATGTATTTTTTTAGTACTAGGGATGGGACTAGAAGTCTTGCTCATAAATATTCTGCCACTGTCTTTTAAAATTTAATTTTATAATTTCATAATTTTTATGGTTTGACAGTGTTGCAGTAACATTCTTGAGTGGATACAGAGAGAATGGAAAAAATAACATGACAGGCATAAAAGTGACAGAGCTTATTGTGCAGCCCAGGCTGTCTTTGAACTTGACACTCTCCTGTGTCGCTTCTGAAATGCTAGGATTACAAGCATGGGCCACACCCAGCTCAAAATAGGTAAAACCTTAAAAGTAGAAGTTACACTGGTGCTGGATAAAGAGTGGTCATGATACACAAGTATGATGGGCTCTTGGTCTCTGGACAGGATAGAAATAAGGCCAGAATCAGCAATTAAAAAAAACTTGGGGGAGGGAAGGGATAGTAGGAGAAAAACAAAGGAGGCGGTAACAATGCTCAACAAAAAATGTACTCCTTACCTTACTCATATAACTGTAACCCCTCTGTACAGTATCTTTACAATAACATAAAATTAAAGAACAACTAAAAGAGAAGTTTATTACAAAGTAAAAGTGTGTAGAAGAATGGGAAGGGGGCCAGAGCAAGTTATCCTTTTTTTGGTTGCTCAGGGCTACTCCTTTTGAAGCTGGATAGGCTAGGGAAAAATGAGGACTGGTAAGCTGAAAGCAAATACAGGAGATATTCCTTCATGTACTTCCTGAAAGATTGACCTTCACCTTATTTCCCCAGGACAAATTGACTCTTAACTTATAAACTTTGGAAGCTAATTTACCCACTCACCTCTCTCGTCTTCCTTTTCTCTAAATTGAAATGGAATCTAAGAAGAGAGTGCTATGATAATGTATTTAATAATACCCATGGAGATTTCTGTCCTGGAGGCTATGCACCAGAAGCAGTCTGAGATATTTATGTCTCATTATGAGCCTTTCTCAACTATCCAGCAACTCTCAATCGAATACCCAAGCCACTTCCAAGTTCAGTTTCTCAGGCCTTCTAAATGCAGTTTCTCAATCTTCCTTTCTCAGTCATCTTAGTTATCCTCTTGACTTCCCCTTTGATCTCAGATGAAAAGATAATTCCAACTGTGTACACACTCTCTCTTCTCTCTCTCTCTCTCTGTCTGTCTCTCTATCCCTGCCCCCTTCTTTCCTCTCTCTCTCTCACACACACACACATACATGACAGCACATAGACAAGGTGACTATTTGTCAATAACAAGTTTTGGAATTCCAGCACAAGAGAGTCAGAGCACACCTCTGTGAACCTCTATGAGAGCTGAAGAGCTCAAGGACAACGCCCAATCCCAGAGTTCAAGTGCCACGGCCAAAAAAAAAAAAAAACCCAGAAAAGAAAAGATAATCCCATTATCTTTTTATGCTAGTCATGTTATCTTCATCATTCTGTCTGTACCCAGTCAAGAATTTACTATAAAACAATAAATTCATAAAATATGAAAAATATAAAGGACATGATAATATAAGGGGCATGGTTTAATAAATATAGGAGTAGCTCATGATTTATGAGAAATAATTTGGATTTATGGAACCTGATATATCAACTGTTATCCAGGTTGCTGACATCAGAATTTCGGTATATTCCTGACTTGCTGCCTCATGACTTACAATCTTCCTAGGGTCAGGCAAAATGTCTGAGCAGTCACCTCTGTCCTAGCTTTTGTCTGTGTGGCATTTTAAAAAGTGCCATATGATTGTAAACCTTTGTGTTTACATATAGACAAATAGCAATGTTTATCCCAGAGACATTGGGTTATGAATAAATGAGAAACCATATATGAAAGTCCTAACAGAAAATAGTCAATGTTATACTGCTCATACTTTGTACTGTAAATATTAATAATATTGTATTATTTCTGGTTTCTCCCTTATTGTGCTGTCTTAGTTATTAATAGACTTTTGTATTTGCATTCTGAACATAAAGATATTTGCATCTTTTTTTTTTTGGTTGGTCGTGGGGCCTGAACTCTGGGCCTGAGCGCTGTCCCTCAGCTCTTCAGCTCAAGGCTAGCTCTCTATCACTAGAACCATAGTGCCACTTCTGGCTTTTTCTGCTTATGTTGTGCTGAGGAATCGAACCAAGGGCCTCATGCATGCAAGGCAAGCACTCTTCCACTGAGCCACCTTCCCAGCCCGATTTGCATCTTTATAAACCTTTCTCTACCTTAATGTTCTAATACATTTCCATAAAAAATATCCTCTTCTTTCCTCCCACACGTTTTGTCTTGACCTTCTCCCAAAATCCAAACCAGTGTTACTTGGAAGTCTATGACTATCTCAGGTCCAGAGATACCTTCTTGAGATACCTTCAAAATTTCTAGACCTAGTATTCAAGGATACCCCAATATACAGTTTCTTTCTCCCTAATACCATTCTAGCTGCGCACAGATCTAAGTGTTATGCTGTCAAAACGCATTTGCTTTCCCTGAAATAAACAGTGCTTGGCTACCCTCCTCTGTCTCATTACTCACAGTATCTCCAGGTTCCCCAAAACTTTCTGTCTCCATCTCTGAATGCCACTAACCTTTCAAGATAATAACCTTTCAAATAATACTTTTGTGAACATTTTGCCAAATTATTGGAAAATTCTATAGCCAGTTGTTTCTTTTTCATCTCCTATGTCAATTCTATCTAGTTTAGTTATTATTGTTTTCACTTCATTTGTTCCTTCAGATCAGAAATTCTTTAAAGGAAGAACTATATCTATCAAGGTTTATATTTTGCTTCAGCCTCAAGCCCAAGAAATACTTGTTGAATGAACTATGTCTCAGTCATAGTGTGAAACTTATGTTTTTATAAGTAGGGTCTTGATATTAGGTAGAACTTTGTAATAGACTATGATCTAACTTTGTAGACAGCCCCAGAAAGTTACCCTGCAGTGGGGAACATAGGACCACACCCTGTGGCTAGAACACTTCTTGTTTACCAAGAGAAACTGAGTTGAATAGCTATACTCACACACTTCCCTCCTGACCTCAGGACTGGGAGTTTTAGTCCTGGCTTTCCATAATCAGCTTTCCCATGAATCAGAGTAGTGCCAGTACACAAGGGTTTCATTCTTTTAGACTGACTATCTTGACCTTTTGCAAATGGACTGAGTATTTACAAAATGAAGACAATTAGAAATTTTAGGACATTATTCATATGTTTGCTGATAACATCAAATATGTATGGTTTCAGTTTCTAAATTGATGATTATTCAATTTAAATGGCCAAAAGCCAACAGCCAAACAGTACTGAGAGTTCTTGCCATCTTCTTAATTGCATCTTTGTTCCTTTGGTAATGGAGACTTCCTTATCTCTCCTTGATCTGCTGTTTAGACATCTGCCTATGGTTTTGTTTCTGTTTTGTTTTCTTAACCTCTCCTTGACATTTATTGCCCCTCATTTTAGTGCACTTAAAAATAGCAGTTTGTACAACTATTTAAAGATAATGCAACATAAGAAGATATAAAGAGAAAATGATATAAAGATAACGATATGATATAATGATAATAAAATTAAATATAATAAAATCTATACTCATGAAAAGTATAACAGGAAATTTTTGAGTTGCAAAAATAATTGCAGTGGTGAGAATTATAGCTAACAACAACTGAGTTTCTTCTGTTGAGCCCTAAGTAAGTACCTACTATGTTCGGAGGACCACAGTTTTCTTTCACCATAGGCCTGCGTGCACTATGTTATTCCAGTAATTCAGGCAATGACCCTGCAGCTCAGAACAATGACATTAAAGCCAAATGTCATTATCATGCTGCTCATAAGTCATAAAAGCTTATTGCAATACACAAAATCTGATTTAAAACTATAATTCTCAACCACTGGAGTAGAGAAAAGGCTTTCCTTTCTTGGTTATTCTCTACTTTTCTAGTTTTAGTTTTTTTATTGGTCATCTTATATTCTTCTCTTTTCTCCTGATATTCCCTCTGCCTGGATGGTCTCATCCAAAGACTGCAGCCTTCTCTTGGCTGGTAACTGACAATGTCAGGTATTTTCTTGTTGTATGGGAATTCCGTTGTAAGAAAACAGAGAAGCCACATTTTGAGAGGTTGAATTGGGAATCTTTATTGGAGAGCCAGCAACTGGAGGTGGACTCCTGTCTCAAAGACCTGGAGCCCAGAATTGAGTTTGAACAGAGCTTTTAAAGACAAAAAACACATGCTTGGGGTGGAGACCAAGCCTTACCAAAAACAAACTTTATATGGGAATACTCATGTGCAAGCAGAACTTTCCATCTAAGGAAGTATCTCAAATATCAGCTTAAACTTTCCATATAGGGGTATATACCTCAAAACCATTTAGGGAGATAATCAAGGCAGAATCAGCACATTCTCTATAGCAAAGATTTCCTACAGCTAAACAGCATGACATCTGCAATTCAGTGAATGGTTTTTCTTACCTCTAAGCTTTTCAGAGCTAAGTGGAAAGCCCTCTCCACCCAACAAGGTACCAGAAGGGCTATATTGACAAGTCATATTGCTTAGAACCAGTCTTCTTACTTCATTCTGAATGCCAGACCTGCCCTCTGCTTGGTATCTTCATTTGGATGTTCTGTAGAAGTTGCATATACAATATCTTAGCACATAAAACATTTACTAGGTGCCTTCCAGTAAGGCAGGG